CAAAATATTATTGATCTTTAATTACAATCACACAATTAGAGAAAGTGTTCCTTAATTAAAAAAAAATGTATGAAAATTGCATTTGTCAACTTGCTAAGTTTTTATAGCCAAAAATTCTCGAAATTTTTTCCAACAGTTCACTTCCTGTTGTTGGCAAAAATCAGGTCAGGCCTTGCCCGGAAATCGGTAACAATTCCCATTTTGAATGATTTATTTTTATTTTGTTATTAAACAGTTTAAGACAAAAATTTCTGAATAATTTAAAAACATTGAGTTTTTGAAATAATTATATTTACTATAGATTTTAGAAAATACCAAAAAAATATCTATTTGTATTCGTGTATTGTTTTTATCAGCTCAAGACATTACTTTAACTAAAAATAAAACTAACTCGGGGGTTTATACAAGGTGATTTTTAAAATTGTGAAAAAGGCAACTACATATTTTGCAACAAAAAATAACACTAACTTGTCAAATAAAACTTTGTTACGGATATACAGAGTGATAAAGTTTTATGATAAAAATTAAAATTTATTAGATCCTCTGAAACCACTTAAGTTATTTTCATAATATTTTACAGGTTTTGTGAGCCGTTGAAGACGCTTACTTTTCATCATCTTACCAAGCATTAGTGTTATTTTTTGATGTGGAATGTAGGGTCGCAATTTTTTGTAAAACTGAMAAAATAATGATAGTATTATTTATTTATTTAGTAAATATTAAGTAATAAATAACTATCTTTTTTTTAAACCTGATGTTCGTTAAAACCCTTAATTAATTGTCCAGAAGAAAATCCCTAGAATAATAGTCAATCTCTCCCTTTCGTCTCTTGGAGAAATAATTGCTTTTATCAACTTTGATAAGCCTCTCCCAATCTCCCCAACTTTTCCAATCCCCATAATGTATCTGGACTCTATCTCTCCACAGTTCTCGAAATAAAATATGAAATTTCCCTTCCATATCGAGCGCTTTATTTCATCTTGGCACGAGTGTGGAACTAGGTTAGTGAGGTGTCGAGATCGTGGATCACCCAACCCACCAAAAATCGATCGTTAATTTCCGTTTGGTAATAAAGCATCTGCACTCGAGGCACGTGTGACGTGTGCATCGACCATATATCAATTTTTGTTTTCTTCGAATGCCAAACGCGGATTTCTTGGAGATATYATGATAATCTTGTCATGTTTGGATGAAAGCCAAAGTTGGCTAACTTATTTGAATTTTTACAATTTGCTGCAAAGTTGTTAAGTGCTTGTTACGAAAAATTCTGCGCGCAAAACATTATTGAAACAGAATGAATAAAATAAGAGATAAAGTTTGATGATCAATTAAAAACGCTGCAAACATTGAATTCCACTCAGTTTACGATTAAAGTGGAAAATCGATCGATGTTTGTCTCGTGTCCAGTTGATGCTAAATCCACCGAACTGCATTGAAATTAATTGACTCTACAGAAAAACTGATTTGATAAAATCAAAAGTAAAAAAACACCGATTCCATTATGAATTTAAATTATTGCAATTTCTATAAAGAGAAAGCAAAAAAATGCTTAAATTTTCTAAAATAAACATTCGAAAATAGTGAGCAACCTACAAGGTGTCTAAAAAAATTGTTTTTTTAGTTTAAAAGTGACAGGTTGTCAAAATTTAAATATAAAAAGTTTTTCCAATAATTTACCTATAAACAGTTTTGTCCCTTTTTCTTYTAGTCATAAAAATTAAAACGTTTTATGAAGTTTATTACAATTATTCCGATGTTTTTTGGTCATTCTATATAAGGGTAATGTGAAGCTAAACGTTTATTTTACCGAACGTAGTGAGGCAAATAATTCAGTTGAGCCAAAAACTCACTTTTACTCCTAAATTACATGTACTATTTTATCCGCAATTGTATTCAAATCGAGAGTAAAGAGCAACATTAATATAATATGATTAGGAAGTAAATGAACAAAATAATAAGGATACGCTTCGCAAGTAATGAAACCATAACAACCCCGTTAAAACATCACGCGTCGGTATCGAAATTTGTGTTGAGATTTTGAGATAAAAAGTTTATTATTGAAACTAGTGCAGTTAGTAGTGAAAATCGAATACRGATGATCTACAATGTATCTCTCCAGAAATTGCTGAAACAGCGAAAGAGACAAAAAGYGACAACATTGGTAAGTAAATGTTATGGTAAAAGTAAAAAGGCTTAGATGCAAAAATAAAATATTTATTTTATGCTGAAAAGTGAATCTTACTTGCGTCATTTAGTCACAAAAGTGGTCACTTGTGTGACGTTTACGAATAAAATATTACATAAGTACTTTTTTTTTAAATTAATTTAGTTATTTTTTATTTCACGTATCGTAAAATCGGGTTACTTTGACACGTTATGGGGCTACTAATTTTGTTTCATTTGCAGTATAGGTACCCACCAAAATTATGTTTTTTTGTATACGCTCCCAAAAATAGCTATTTTGTGGACTCATTTGAGCTATTATTTTATTTTTATGCCACATAGAAGCCATAACATACCAAAAATGACTTAATTTTTTTTAAGAAAATATTTTAAAAAATAACAGAGTTACCGATTTTTAAAGTGGAAGGTGCAGATCCAAATTTTTTGAAAAAGTCCAAATATTTCAAAAACGGTTAAATTTGGGTATAAGGAAAGCTGATAAAAATTCTCTTAAAATAACCCGATTAATCCAAAAACGCAGTAAAAAATATAGCTTTTCATTTAAAATAAGAAAGTTGAGTATATCCGGTATAACCGGAAGTGCCGCCATCTTGAAAATATTTTTATTTAGGAGGGCTTAATGCATTATCTCTGTGTACCAATTTTCAAACAAATATGATTATTCGAACTCCCAATACTTTTAATGTGGGCTTTAGACGGAACACCCTGTATAATTTATGTTTTATGTTTAATGAGTTTAAGAAAGTTTATTTACATCATATATTACATATTTTTAGTTCCGAAGTGTCAAAGTACCCCCCCCCCAGGCAAGCATAACTTTGATTTTCAACGTAATTAAAGGGACTGTCAAAATAGCTCCGAAGTCGTTTTTTTTGACACCAAATGTTCTATTTTTTTTTTGAAAAACTATGACCTTGAGGAAAAATTTTAAGTTTTTTTGTTAAAGCAGAAGGATCAATTGTTCTGATGCTAATTTTTTTAAAAAAATATTGCAACAAATAAAAAAGTTCCATTAACAAAACCTCTCAAACTATGTAAGCCCATTTTACGGTAACTAATAACTAGTAAATTTTTTTTACTTTATTATTATGAAAGATAGCAGCAAAAACACCTTTTATATGATTAGTAAAATTAGATACCAATTTGGATAAAAATAAATGTTTTATTATAACTAAWGAAGTGTTTTTTGAGAGATGCGGATAAAATTTGGTACACTTTGCACCTATTTAAAAAGTTTGTCTAGTCTACAAGTTTAATTTTGGGACACTCTGTATAAGTAAATGGTTTTAATTTTCATTGAATAAAAAAACTGCAGAGGATATTTTTTCTTATAAATCTTATAAATTATAGTCTGATAACCCCCCACTACCCTTAAAATAATCCCCACTTGGCCCACTTTCACAGTAGTTTGGTTATGATTAATTTCCCCTAAATAAACATGATCCTTTGGATTTTTCTCCCTCCGTTTTTTCGCGGAAAAGAAAAATAACACACACTTTACCTTGCTCTTATTTCTCGGAGCAAAATCCTCTTTAGATGTTTTCCTCCTCTTGTCTTTGAGAATCATTCTAGCGGCCGCAAACGCCATTTTATCTCGTCTCTGCCACTTCTTATACAATTATTGTGTAATTACATCGTTGCTAAAGAGGCGTAAAAATTTATTTATTTAGCTTGAGGGAAGTTTTATAGGTCAAGTCTTATCGCTCCCATAAATTATATTGCAAGAAAAAAATAAAGAAAAAATATCGTTTCTTTGTGAGTGGTACACAGTCTTGGCATCGGCGTGAAAATTTGAATTAAATCATATTTCAATTGTTGAGTGTTTGATAATATTTCTATTTATAAACTTCATAAAAAGCGTTTTATTGTTAGCTCACAGGGATTGAATAAATTTGAAATTTTTGCACTAAATGAGTCTCAATATTTGAAATAAATTTCCGATTTGCGTATTTCGGAAACAGTGCACAATACCGTTCAATTCATTGATACAATCAGAGTTTTAATGGAAAAACTCAACTTAAAATTTGAATAAAAAAAATTAAAAAAATATCTCCTGATTTCTGTAAACAGTTTGCGAGTTTGAAGCAAAGTCTTTAGCAATTAAAAAGTTTACTTTTCCCCTTTCTAATTAAAAAAGCGCTCCGTTTTCTTAAAAGAAAAAAATCTCATGCAACTCTCGATCACTGAAACTGATCCGAAACTCAATTCAACAAGACCAACACGAATTCAAGAGATGAAGACAGTCTGTGTCGTAGCAAAACGTGAATATCGATTAGACTGCCTCCTTGCAACCTCTTCCTGTTATTGCAAAACAATCCCCAAGCTTTTGCGGGGCGATAAGTGCTTTTACACGGCTTCATTATCATTTYTTGGGGCTCGGAACGTGCATCGGAAACACCGGGAGACAAGCGCCTAATTAATTTTTCGCTAATGATAAGCGCGAGACAAGGCTCATTACCGTTTCACGGCCAAAAACACAACATGGACAGCTTTTGAGAGAAAAATGTTGATTTAAATTGAAGGAAAAGAGAATGTACACGCTTTCAACCAGCTTAATATTACAAAGTTTGGAATTATTGGAATTATATTGTAAAATAATGGAATTATTTTGAATTACTCTATTTTTTGGAAATACTTGAAAATCTTCGTTGGTCAGTTTGCTTTGAAAACTCAGTGTTGTCAATCGTAGTACTATTTTCTTACACTAGCATAATGTATTATAATTTTAAATTTCTAAGATAATAAAGTTTTTGGGATTGCAAAATTCATTTTTTTATGAAAAAACGTATTATTTAAATTGCATGAAAAAAATACAGTAAAATAAAGTAGGTAATCTACAATACGCCAAAAATAAATCAAGAAAATTTTCCGTACAGTTTTTTTGTAAAAAAATAAAATGGTAAAAAAAGAGGCTTTTTAAATCTATTTTTAAACGGCACGGACAAAATATTTTAAATTTATATACAGGCTGTATTATAAAAAATGCCCCAAGACATAATTTTATTACTTTTAAAGACCTTATAATACTTTTTTGCCCAAAGTTTTTCGTTATCAATTGTTTACTTGTCTTAGATAAAATGAATAAAAATGTTGTATTCTGTCCACAGCCTACTTTATTTAATTTAATTTTCAAATTGCCTAAAATCAAATGTTAGTGATAAATAATAGTAAGTGAACTTGTTGAAAGACAATTTAATAAGGAATCTAAAAATAATAAAACATATAGGGTCTTTCATTTAAAAAACTGAAATTAATGTCACTTCCGGTGAAACAGGAAGCTGCATTGATTGAGCATCTATGCCAAACAATAAACGACAAGAAACTGTTCAACTTTGTTCCAAGAAGTATTGTCATCTTTAAAAATAATGGAGTTATGGATTTGGGCGTTTTTCATAATACAGCGTGTATATATATTGCTACTAAGGCCATCAAAAAGTTATGATATTTTTTCAGAATTTTTAAGTAACGATTTATTTTTTTATTCAGTATAGTTCAACCTTAAAGTTTTGTAAAATTATTTTGATGTAATCTAGTTGTCTCTGAATTTTTTTTTCCTTCTTCAATAATTTTTCTCACCCTGTATATTGAAAACATGTACTTTCATAAGTAATAGTTTTTCAGTGTATTACTTTTTAAATTTTTACAAATGATTTTTTAAGTGTTTTTGAACTATAATTTATACAGAGTGTCTTCAAAACTTCCTTGAGTTATTAACTTAGTAAATAAAAAATCCAGATTTTTTTTGAAAACAGTTTTTATATAATTTTTCATTTTTTAAGAACCTTTGTTATTGCTGAATGTGATTTTAGAAATTGGAAAATTACTGGAATTATTTTGAGATTACTCTATTTTTATTGACTTTTAAGCATATTACTTTTAAAGTTTTTTTTTAAAGTATTTTTGAACTATGATTTATACAAAACTTTCTAGAATTATTAGTATAGAAACAAAAACTCCAAAATTTTTAGAGAAATAGGTCTTATTTTATTTTTTTTGAGGAGTTTTGTTGTTGTTAATTTATTGTATGTATTTTTGGAAATTTGTAAATTATTTTAGAATTATTATATTTTTTTGAGATGCACATGAAAATCATTACTATTCATGTGTGCTACAATGTTGTTTTGAAAAGTCAGTGTTGCCAATTGTAACACTATTTTATTCCACATAATTTTCAATATGCTAATATACTCATTTAAAAGTTTATTACACTCAGTCCAATGTTTTTAGGACATTCTAATAAAGCAGATAAATCTTAAAAATTTGTTATTTGTATATTATTATTTATTTGTTATTTTTCTTTAATTTAGTAGTCTGAGAAATTGTTTACTTTTCCAATACATAATTTTTCTTTTTTACCAAATTTTAAAAACTACATAAAATAGATGAGTTTTTGTAACATTTTTTAGTGCTTTAATCTTCTAATTTATATTTTTTCCACCACTAATATCTTATACTGTTTCTATGATGCATATGTTGTCATTTATACCAAAATAAAAATTCTATCTATCAAAAAAATTTGACATTTATTTTTTGACGTTTGACATTTTTTTATATCTATTTAATAGTACTGATGATCTTGTACATGGTTTTTTTTATAATTATTTAGTAAAGAGACAAAAATTTTGCCAATAAAAGCCACATATAACATTGAACAGAGTTACAATTTAGGATACAACTTCCTTGTTTCCTCTTTTAATTAGCCTATAGCAAAAAAACTTGGAAAATTATTTTTCCAACAAAAATAAATAGAGTCAAAGTGCAAACTTTAAACCCTCATAACTTCGAAATTTTTATAGATAAAATTTTTTTAACATTTTTTCCATGTTTCTGGTATATTACCTTATATCTATAAAATACGTCGTCAATCACAACATTTTTAATAAGTACATAAAATACTCTTACCTTGGTATTTTGTCAATTTTAAGAATTATTTTGACAAATTTCTGTTTCAATATTAGTGTTGAAAAAAATTTTGAAAACAACACAAGTTTTATATAGTTTAAAAACTCTTGTCCTAATAACTTCAAGGTCTTACTACTTAACAATTATTTTTTCCCACCCTGTATATTAAAAAAATGTACATATTTTCACAAACAATTTTTTAATCTATTACTTTTAAAGTATTTTTGAACAATAACTTATACAAGGTGTCTCTAAATCAGTTAACAAAATAAAAGTCAGTATTTTTTATACAAATGGGTTTTATTTTATTTTTTTATACTTTTAAGAATCTTTGTCATTTTTTTAATGTATTTTGAAAAATTGTGAAATCACTGTAATTTTTAGATTTCCGTGAAAATATTGAAAGTTATTTAGAAATTGTTAAGAATTCATCGCTTTTTAATGAGTCAGTGTTGCCAATCGTAGCATTATTTGTTAATTTTAAATATTTTGGTATTTTGCACTTGAAAATTTAAACTATTTTTAAAATAAATAAATGTTTTGCTTGAAATTTAGCAAAATTTATTATAAATTTGCACTTTAAAATTACTTTGAATTACTTAGAATTAGAATTACAGAAACTAATTAGAAAGCGGTAAATTTTGTGGGCTTTTTAGCAATTGGAATGAGTTGTACCAACATGTGATAGAAAAAAATCCCTTTTCCGGGCATCTATACGGCGTTGACAGATGTCCCCTAAAACAAGCTCGTTTGTCCACGCCATAATGGGTCCTTTTGTTCTTAATGTTGGCAGCTTCCTATTGTGCAAACGACAAGTTCCCGGATATAGTCTATATAGACAAAAGAGTCGATTGTAAATAATTTTTAAAAAGTGACCCGGACTCGGTTCTGGACACTTTGTTTGCTTCCTTCCGATATGACTGCTGCTACGTTTTTTACCACTTGAAAACTTCAGCTCCGGAATGAATTATTTTGAAACGGGTCGACGCTTAATAATTTGCGTTTCTGACTAGTTTCTAGGAATTCGAATAGCGGCAATAAATAACACCCTAATCAGTTAATTCATCAAAGTCGACACTGAACGGGGTGCGTGGTAGTTGACCGTTATTATCGTTTAGCAAACTCACGCAGAGGAAAAATTCAATAAATATAATAAAACTAGTTTAATCGAGCAAATTTTCTCGTATTAGTTTTTGAATTATTGAATTTTCACAATTTTTTTGCTAATAAATTGGAAATTTATTTTTCGTTAGTTCAGTGAGTACATCTAGTTCTTGTTACGTCGATAGAAATAATAAATTAATGTCATAACCATAAATTAAAAAAATAAATTAAAATACACATTCCTTGGACAAATTTCTTTTACATTGAGCTCCTAACAACACTTCTCAATCACTATCTAACTGCTTTTAAAAAAAGGCTACTTTTAAAAATATCATGTCAAATTGGTAGAAGACAACCAACATACTAGACATTCAAACTATCTAATTTTTTTTAAATTATTACTCATTATTATTAATTATTATAATATTCGATTAATTAAAAATTAACTTGTTTCGATTATTTTAACAGTTGTTTTGTGTTTATCTAATTTACTTTACGAGTAGATATAGTTAGAAATTTAACATACAGGGTGCACCAAAACTCACGCTCCCAAAAAAAAATGCCATGTAAAAAAATTCTATCTATAAAAATTCAGAAGTTATAAGAATTTAAATTTTGCATTTTGACTTTATTTATTTCTGTTGCAAAAATAATTTTCCAAGTTTTTTTGCTACAGGCTGTTAGAAGAAGGAACAAAAAATCTGTATCACAAATTGTAACCTTTGTTTAATGTTGTTTGTGGCTTTTATTAGCAAAAGTTGTGTACCTTTACTAAATAATTATAAAAAAA